GGTTTACGGTTTAAATACACGAATGAGTAGAATGCTTACATTTTTTGCCCATTTCGACGACAAAGATGTTGAGACGAAGGGACGATGCGACGAAGGAACGTATACAGTTTTTTGGGTGTACGAACGACGAAGAAGATGATGAGACGATGTGACAATGAAACGAAGACAGTCTTCTCGGCGTAGGGATGACGGAGAAGATGATGAGACGATACGACGATGCAACGATGGAAGGAATACAGTTTTCTGGGCGTTGAGGCGATGTGGAATATGGTTTTGGATTTCTGGACTGTAGAGGTACTGTGCGTGATTTCTTGCGCAAGAATAGAGAGGGGAAGAGAAACGGTTATTAGATTCAAAGAGAGAGAGAGGGGCGCGTGTTTTTTTGAGGATTTTTTTGGTCTTTTTGTATGAAATGGACCTAATGGAATATTATAAAATACTATGAGTTTTATGGAACAACAATCTTAGATAATGGATTTACTAAAAAAGTTCCCAAAAAAGAATTAAGAATGTATATGTATCTAGGGTTTTACTTGTATGTCATTGGAGCTTGTACTTTTGGAACATATGCGAAACGGTGCGTACAATCACAAAAAAGCCACAAGCAAGCAAATACACGTGTATATGTATCTAGGGTTTTACTTGTAACTCTTTCAACATATATCCCTCTCTCTCTCTCACCCCAATTCATTCACTACTGCACTACTAGTACAACTGAACCACCGACTGTAAGCAAGCAAAGCAATACTCTCTCTTTCTCTCTCTCTCTCTCTGTCTCTCTCTCTCTATATATATATATATGTATGTATGTATGTATACAGACATGTACATATAATATTTCTCTCTTGGTGTTAGTGATTTGTGAAACTTGTTTTTGTGTTTCGTGTGATTATTGTTTTGAATTTTGAATTCTTATATTTTGGTACAGGATTTGAGATGGCGGGGAAGGAACAAGAGAACCGTATATTTGTGGGAGGATTGGATTGGGACGTTACTGAGCGTCAGCTCGAAAGCGCTTTTACCCGTTTCGGCAAAATTGTCGACTCTCAGGTTCCGCTTTTGCTTCTCTTTGCGGTTTTATGTTATTACTGTTTGGTTGCTCAGAAAAATACTAGGAAAGTAAGTATGGATAAACTGGAGTTTTGGTGAATCAGTGTGTTAAATGATTATTAGGTTCAATTGGGTTGGGGCTAAAGTCGGGGAATCACTTTTTTCTTTATTTTTATTTTTTATTTTTTAATGTGAAATTAGAAAGAGAACAGGATGCCTTAAAATGGCATCTAAGGTTTTAAATTCGTATGGAGCTTAGGGTGCAAGGTGAGAAGCAGGCTTGACCAAACTAAGGTGCATGTTTTTATAAATACTTTGTGTAAATTGGATAGATTCTATAGAACATTCAAATAAATGAAATAACAATGCAAAATTACTACTCAGGAATGATGTTTAATTAAATTTGTACATTGCATAATCACAAATATTAAAATTCCTAAACATAAAAAAGGGTCTGGTTGTAACAGAAGAAAGAGAAAAAACAGTTGTGTTTGATTGAGGGGGAAAAAAAAAAGAAAAGAAAAAAAGAAAAGAAAAAAAGTGCTTAAAAAAGAAGAAGAGGAGGATCTGAAGAAGAAAGGGTCTGGCTATATATATAGAGGGAGAGAATCTAGGGTATAGTAGAGGTGAAGGAGAGGGGCTCTAGTCGAGAAAAAACAAAGGAAGAACGAAGAAGATAGAGTCTCACACGGTAGAGGTAAGGAGAGGAGGATGATGACCAAGCTGCTCTGCTGGAGAAATAGTTCTCTGCCTTGGTTGCATTATAGGATTTCATCTATTTTGGTTCTTCTAAGTGCTAGGAAATTGAATTCCTCAATGATATTATGGGAGAGTAGTATTATTAGTTATGAAGCACACAGACAATCCATTGTAGTTTCCATGGCAGTGTTCAACACTGTGGATCATGTATTGGATACACCACGTGCTGTGTCAATGTCTATTATTTTTTCTGCTAGACTCGTTGGAGATACTCGTGTCCTATGATTGGGCATGCCACAGGATATGTTTGTTGGTTTGTTATAATTTTAGAATGGTTGTTTGGTGATCAAAGTATAGTATTTGGAAGCAAGACTCTGTAAATTGAAAAATAACAAAACCTTTTTCTCCCAATATTTTCAATTTTTGATTTTCTATGTTTGGATCCAAATTTTTTGAAAATCAACCCGTGGCCTTGCTCATGTGTCTTAGATTAGTAGCATGTATTTGTTCGTTAAGAATGACCAAAGGTGTAGTCAAAGATGTGCCTCTTACTTATTCTGTCTTTCTAACCTTGACTTCTTAACCCTTTGCTGTGCAAGTCTATTTTTTCCCTTAATTTTAACACCCTTCATGCAGCAAATGTGCAACTGGTATGCAATATGTTTGGTTTGGTATTCCCGTGTAGAATCTCTCTCCCTCTCTCTCTCTCTTTATATATATATATGTATAACAGACATATATTCTAATCTCTAAATCCTAAGATGTCTTAGAGTGTTCAGTCTCTTTATTATGCTGTTGTTACTTCTCTATATATAGTTTGGCTACTTTTATATTTTTTAAATGTAAAAATTCAACTACAAACTATAAGCCTCAAGTAGTAACTGATGATAAAACCTTGCCCATATTTATCCAAAAAAAAAAAAAAAAAAAAAACCTTGCCCATCCTTTTTTGTCTCCCCTTTGAAGACACATTGATATTCATTTCATGGTTTGAAGTAAAACCGAACAGAATCAGCTTCTCAAGGCACTGATATAATCATAATGTTAACAGGAACTGTCACTGATATTTTGGTTGACATATTTAAAATGAAGATTAAAATTTCTCTCTCTCTCTCTCTCTCACTCTCTCTCTTCTTCTTCCTAACCTACCTTCACCAATGCCTGGCGTGGTACATTGTTGACTGTGTTAATTTATGCTTGAAGTTGAACATTAGTCTCTTATGAGAGAGTGATTCCCCTTCTATTGAAGGGGAAGATAAAACAGTTTGGTAATATTTTTTCTACCATCATATTATGCTGATTACGCACCTATATTGTTCAGTTATTAGTATTTTTTTCTGATCATTTTATTATTTTTATCTTCTTACATGTGGCTTCCATATTAAAATGATTTTATTGTAAGATTCTTGGCAGCAATTGCTAATTTTATTATTTTACATATCTTCTTTTCCATCATCACATATTAATTCTGCTTTTTTTCTTTCTTTCTTTTGTTTGTGATCTTTTCTGTGATGCGGATTATGATGATTAAGATGCCTTTAGATGGAATTTGTAAGGACGTTTTCGTGCAATTGGATTTCATCAAATTTCTGAAGCTCTATATCATTTGTGTGTTTAGATTATGTTCAGTTGGTTGTTTTGAGATTCTCATCCCTAGTACTCAGATAAAGAGGTGTCTCTAAGTGTGTATCATGGATTTCTTGAAGACAGCTTGTGAAAATCTTGGTTAATCATAATCTTCTGTTTGTTTGAAAGGGCCCTCGCGCAATAAAAAGAGGGCTTCTTTGGGATCCTTGAAGAGAATCTTGATCATGCAATTTAGATGGGGGTCCAATGTCAGGAAAGGTTCAATTAACAAGTTTTTGATGTAGCAAACTTTAACGAGGTTTTTGTTCCTTCTTTTTATTGTGAAATCCATTGATTTTCAGTCATGGATATTTATTAAGGATTCTATGATTAAGGAATTGAAGAGTTTGAATTGATCCATACTTGTCTGGATACACAGCATCAACAATCATTTGAAGAACTTTGTTTCTTTATATTGGAGGATGAACATACAATATTTAAGTTGTCAATTTACTAGACAAACATGATGGTGGAGGCTCTCTATTGGTTCATGGATGCAGATTGATAGTGATCAAACATGGTATGCTGCTTTCTTTTCCTCACAGAATCCAAAGGGTTTAGTCTTGTGAAGGTGTCTGATGCTGTCACATGTGCATGGGATCTTCAAGGCTGCTACATCATTGTGCTTTGTTGATTTAACCAGTTTCTGGTATCACTCTGTGTCAAATACAGAAAACTTGCATGTGTGGTCCCTTATACATCGGCAAAAAACAAATTCAAGACATATTCCATTGCATTTTAATTCTTGATTTTACGAGAGATGTAGTTTGCATTGGTCCCGTGGATTAGAGAAATCTTAGACACTAAATGCATGAAGATGGAATCATGCAAGTGCTTCAGAGGAGACTAATCTTATTTTGGATGCAAGAAACTATATTTGCCATTAGTTTTCCTTTGTTTTAGTGAGGTTCCCAACTTCCATTTCCCGCCTGGGAGATTTTACTTTCAAACCGTTTATTTGTTCAGACCCTTTAGATAATTTGGGTTTCTAAGATGGACCCTGCTTCTTGTTACTGCAAAATGTAATTGGGTATGTGTCATTGCTGCTTTTAGAAATATCTTGATACAAATGGTGTGGGTCCTACCTTCTGTATAGCAAGAGTCCAGTTAAAGTAATTTTAGGACACTTGTGCAAGTTTCAGTTCCAAAGCAGTATGGTGACCATTCCAGTTGTACCGAGGAGCCTTAGGGCCCAGCAATGAATTATTTGAAGCTATGGTAGGTCCTTCATCCAACACTAAGCTTCAACAGTTTCATTTTTCATGGCGCAGATAACTTACTACTCTCTCTGCTACCCTTTTAAGTTTGTGTGCTTTTTTAGTATTTGAAAGCTGGTGCTGGCAGTAGTTGGACTGAGATTAGAATTTACAGAATTTGGAACCTCTAGAATACTCTGTCTGTTCAGTTTTGGAGTCTGGATTCTTGCAACTGAGCTCGATTTTATTTATCCATCATCCTCTTTCTGTCTTTTAAAAGTGTCATTCCCAAAGGTACAGTCACTTAAATGCTTACAAGCATCTGATGCTGTGCGTACTAGAAGTCAGTGATTGTGTCAGTTGGCATTAAAGTTTGAAAAGGAGCAGTTTTGCTTCTGCCTTATAATTTATATATAAGTGGATTCAGATATGTTCTGTGAAGTTATCTACACAAGTTTGAGTTTATTTTTGAAGTTGTCTTGATTATCTCAGTTCTGCATATCCAACTGATGATATCAATGAAGTTACTATGTTCTATATGCCAGCTGTTTTTTATGAGATGCAATAGGAGATGGCAGAAATATGTTGAAGTGTTTGGGTATAGTTTTTTGCATGGACAATGTGAGATGATATGATGTCACATATGTATGTCATAGTGTTAGTCTGGATAATTAAAAGCTCATATTTGCAAGCAAAGCTTTTGTCATGGAGATGCCTTCTGGCCAGTTGTCCCTGTGTTTTCTTTTCTTCCTCTTTATTGGTGCTTTACTGTAGGATGGGTCCTACCTCCTATTGTCAACAGTATGGTTTACTGGCAAGTCTGTGATTGAGGTTAAATGGCTTATTTGCAAGGAAATGAATTAAGTATTTAGAGTATGATCAGTGAAATCCAGATAATGTGGTGTGGCATCTTACGGTTATTTTTGGAGAGATTAGATACGTATGTGTGTGGTTGCATCTGGTTTTTTCTGGGGTCAGTCTTGGATTCTATGGAAAATTGAGGCCAGAGGTGACTTAACCTGTCAAATGATGGATATCTGCAGTTCTGTGGATTCTTCCATTTTGAGTAAGAATTCTTATCCTGGTTATCCTAAAAATGCTTATACATAAAGTTTGGTAAAAGTATTGTAACTTTAGGTTCTTTGTTTAACTTAGAAGTGGAAGAAATTATTCTTTATTTGTTTTTTAATAATCATAATTTGCTTACTTGTTTTTGTTTGATTATGGCATATTGATTTTGTATGCACTTTTGATTCTTTCTGGGTGATGAATTTGTATTTGCAAACAGTTCCTATAGTATGTGATTCGTTCCATATTTTTGTAGACCTTTTCAGCATAAGAACGTGATTCTATAAATATATATGTTTTTGGAACTGGCATTTTCTTGTTATGAAAATAATTGGGTTGTTGCTCCTATTATTGTGATGTGATATGTTTAAACTTGGTATTCCTTATCTAAAAATGGTACAAGGATGCTGTTGCTTCTTCAAGACTCTCATCTTTGAAATCTGAAGCATAAACATAAATTGCATGAGATTCTGTCTTTTTGGCACTATGGTGTCCTAAATGCTTTCGATCAAACTGAAACTGAATTGAAGCAGGGCACATGATTTTGGATCTGAACATTTCTTGCTCCTAATCCATTACATAGAAGTGTGTCAATTTGTCAGTCATCTCATTTTTGTAAATGTCACTTTGATTTGTTTGCATTCATGTTACTATGTGTTATCAGTTTCTCAAATGTATTGTTCATGTAGATTATGGTGGAAAGAGATACAGGCCGCCCTCGTGGATTTGGGTTTTTGACATTTGCAGACCGACGGGCAATGGAAGATGCAATCAGGGAAATGCATGGTAGGGAGCTAGGTGATCGTGTCATCTCGGTGAACAGGGCCCAACCCAAAATGGGGGGTGATGACCCAGGCCATGGGTACAGTGAAGGCTATTCCTCAGGTGGCAGGGGCAGCTATGGGGGAGGAGATAGGTCTGCAGGTCAAGATGACTGCTTCAAGTGCGGACGCCCAGGTCACTGGGCACGTGATTGCCCTTCAGCAGGTGGTGGTCGAGGAGGTGGTGAATTCCCTTTTCGTTCTAGATTTGGTGGCCGTGGTGGCCGTGGGGATCGCTTTGGAGGAGACCGTGATAGATACATTGATGATAGATATGATGGAGGGCGCTATGGGGACAGGGATCGTTACAATGGCAGAGACAAATATGGGAGCAATGATCGCAATGTTCACGACAGGTATCATTAGACAAGTAATTTTATCATAGTGATAGTGTTGGGTTTCAAGTTCTGTACACATTGATCATGTACTTATAGCAGGTATAACTTCTTGATTAATGTTTCCTTTCTTTTTCAAGTTTTGCTTATATATCTTTTTGGGCAAGTAACTTGTGCTTATATTATAATTTCTCATTGTGAACATTTGATTTGGAAGAACAATTTTTTAGTGCTTTAACGCTCCGTTTGTTTGGGCGAAAAACATTTCCTAGAAAAGATTTTTCTTATTTTCTGGTGTTTGATACAATGGAAAACGAAAGTCTTAAGGAAAAATATTTTTCATTGTCAACAGAAAACAAGCCTATATGGGCATAAAATGTTTTCTACTTTTAAAAGGCAGAAAATGTTTTCCAGACTAAATTTTTACCAATATCGCCACACTACCACCACCACACCCACCTCCACTACCACGGCCACTGCCACCATCGCTGTCTCTGCCACCCCCACCACCTCCACCTCAATCGTTGTTCCACCACTACCACCAAACATAGAAAAATGTTTTCCAAAAAAAATTTCCGTAGAAAATGTTTTCCGCCCAAACAACGGAGAAGAGTTTGTTTGGTTTAGGTTTAGGTTTTGAAATCTGCTTTTGAGTTTTTTTTTTCCCATGTTTTTTTCTTTAGTGAAAGTTTTTCATATTTTAGTGAATTTTTTTACAATAACTTTTTAGATGCACTAAGAAGTGAAATATTTTTCAAGAAATTTGAAAAAAGGTTTATTAAAAAAAATGGAAATGTGCTGGGTTTTTGTTCTAATTGAATTTTTTTTTGCAGATTTCTTCACAAATAATTTACTTTTTATATGCATATAACAAATAATTTTTTTGATAAAAATATGAAAGAAGTTTACTAAAGACAAAAAAATACAGAAAACAAAAAACTCAAAAACAGTTTTTGAGTTTGAAATTTTATTTTATTTTAATTTATGAAATGTCAGTGTTAGGGTTCGTGGTCCTGTTATACTTAATTGTAAATGTCACCCGTAGCTGTTATTTAAAATGCAGGTATCCGCCTAGTGGAGATCGTTTTGCAGGGGATAGGTATGGAGGTTCAGACCGTTACCCGCAAAATGGGTATGGCAAAGATGGAGGCTATGATAGGGATGGAGGTCCAAGAGGGAGCAATGACAGGTATGGAGGTGGAGGGCCATCACGCTATGAGGGAAGAAGTTACAGGGATAGGCCAGCTCCATATGACCGCCCCAGGAGAGGAGGGCGCCCATCTTCTTTCGATCGCTACTGAAAATTTTGACTTTTGTTGTAGTCTTGTTAACTTCTTGGATGCTTGTGTATATTCTTTTTTAGTTGATTTCTTTCTATATTTCGATTAGGATGCTGCCTTTATTATGAATGAGGATTGATTATTGCTATTTAATTTTGTTGTGTTTTTTAGGTTATGTGAAATTGTTATTTTGAGGGTGCAAAACATGTTCAAATTAGGATCTCTTATGTAGGATAACCTAATTATATTCATGACATGCCGTGGGTTTGTTGGTGTTTGGTAAGATACGAAATTTATGGTTAGATGAATGGACGATTGTTTGCATGCTTGATTAGATTTGAAAGTGATTGAGGTTAAAGTTACAAAATTATAGGAAGGATTCAACTAAGATAGGATGGATGTATTTTTTTTTTTTTTTAAATTAAAATTATTGTGTTTGACATATTTAATTTTTCAATAAAATAATAATAATAATAATAATAAACTTTAACGGTTAACCATATTAGACATACTATTTTCAACTTTTTCTAATATTGTGTTTAGTTTTAATTGATAGACTTTATTTTAAGTGACTGACTATTAAGACTGCAAACGAGGCGAGTTGTTCATGAACAATTTGAGCTTGGCTCGCTTAAAACTCGTTTGAACTTGACTTGCTTACTAAATGAATGAGTTCGAGTGCTTGAGCTCGATTTTTAGGCTCGTTGATTAATCGAGCCGTGCTCAAGTAGCCTTAAGTTTAGTTCGATAAGGCTCGTGAATATAAAAATAATAAATTAATATTTATTTTTAGTAATATATTGAATAAAATTTTAATAATCTATTTTATTTTTTTATTTATGTTTGTTGTTTGTGTAAATTTACATGTTTGATTGATAAAATTTATTATTAATATTAATTGTTATTATATATTTTACTCATAATTTTGTATTTTTTTTTTATCTTAATAAGTAAATTAATCTAATTTAATTTTTTTTTGCAAGTTCGATTTCGAACTTGGCTCGTTTATATAATCGAGCAAGCTCGAGCCGAGCTCAAGTTTGACAAATATTTGACGAGATGAGCTCGAGCTTGAGGTCGATTTTTGAAGTTCGATTAGAGCTCGAGTTTGAGTTCAACTAATTTTTAATAAATGAACTTGAACATTTAAAAGTTCGGCTGAGCTCGGCTTGTTTGGAGCTTTACTGACTATCCAAAGTTTTTGTTTTTGTTTTTTTTGATGAATGTTTTATTATATAAAATACAATGAATATTTTAACAACAATGATTGAGATATTTTTTTTGGGGAGTCCCTACAATTTTTTTTTGGATTTCAATCATTAATGGTGTAGGTACCACAAATACATGAGTGAGTTTTACACATACATCAATGGTTAAAATCTAAAGAGAGTTGTGGAGGTTCTGAAAAAAGGGATCCCAAGTAATTTTCATATTCTAACCTAGCGGGAGGTGGAGGGCAGATTCGAAACTCAAACCGAAGATTTGGTAAAGGCAGCTCTATCCAGAGTTTTTAGTTGCCACCTTAGGAGATCATCCGAAGGAAAAAAAAGAAAAGAAATATGCCCAAGTAATATGAATGATTAAGACTTTGTATAGTTGAAGAATGTAGAGGGGGATTTAAAAATGAAAAAAAATATAAAAAGGGCAAATTACATATACACCCTTCGAGGTTTGGCTAAATTACAAATACCCCCCTGAGGTTTCAGAAATTACGAATTCCCCCCTAAATGCTATATTTGCATAAGAAATTAGGGGGTAATTTGTTATGAAATATAAACCTCAGGGGGTAAATTGTTATGAAAATACAAACCTCAGGGGGTGGGATGTAATTTCTGAAACCTCAGGGGGATATCTGTAATTTAACCAAACCTCGAGGGGTGTATATGTAATTTGCCCAAATAAAAAATAAAATGTAGATAAAATATGTTTATATTTTACTTAATTTTATACATAGATATATATATATTTTTCTTTTTTAAATCTCTCTTTAAATTTATAAATTAAACATAGCCTCAAAAAAATACAAGTCAACTAAAAATCGTATACATATTTTCTCACAAACCACTTTAGCAAAGAAAAACCAAAAAACCCCAAAAGTAACCTCCAGCCAAAATTGACTAATAAAAAGACAGAAAACGAAAACACAGGCACATTGGTTACACTTACTTTTAAAGATGTAAACGCAATCACTTTAGATCTCATGCTTTGCTTTTGTGTAGTAGACTAGTATATAAGTGCTGACTTAACTTTCTCTCCTTTGTTTTTTGAGTGTCTATCAATCATGAGCCTCTCTTTTTTTTTCATTGTGTTTGGATTATAAATTTAAATAAAAATTAGAAAAAAAAACAAAAATACGCAAAAAAATAATTTATATTTTATTCATATTTTTTATTTTTTTTAATTTTTTAAAATTTTTTTTAATCCAAATATAATATTAATATATTTTTTTTAAAACAATATAATTTTGAATAAGTCACTGCTGCCTTATATTGTTGGTCATCGACCATTCTATGATGGACTTGGAATAACATTTCTACATAGGAAGTTGATTGATAAATAACCACCACAACTTCTTCTACGGTATGATGTAAGTGGATCAACACCAAATTTCAAAAGGTAGGAGGACTTGTGAGGTTACTTGATTGTTAGCAACTTTGAAGTCCCATTTTTTAGAATTTTCAAACCATGTCAAAATTATGTAAGAGAGACTGAGATATTTTTATTTTATTTTTTGGGTAGGGGGGAGAAAAAATTTATAAATGTAATTTTATCTTCTGCTTCTAAATACATCTAAAAAATTCCTCTTTACTCCTAATATCTAGAAGCACCCACAATTTCATTTTTTAGTATTTTGTTCTGTGGTCCATCTGAGATTTTAAAAAAAATAAAAAGGAAGTTGTATCATTTGTGGGAAGCAAGTAAATGACTTTAGAAAAATTATGTTTCAACAAAATGATGGAAACACACAATTTGTCTCTTGTTTGGCCACATTTCTCTTGTTTATGGCTGGTGTTCATAACCCCTTACTAGTATTTTCAAAAGGGATACCATTTTTTTATTGAATACACTCAATTACTTGTAAATTATGTCTATTAGTTAAGCACCAACCTATTTAAAAGTCAAAAGTGGAACTTAATAATTTATCCCATGACTTGTCCAACCTTGACAAATGAGGTACTTATCCAAGTTGCGGCGTAGGGGCCATTAGAGAGGTAGACATAGATGTATTTTTGTGGAGAGATAGAGAGAGAGAAAGGGCGAGCTCCATTTGTTGGAATAATCTTCTGTGTAAATAAAATAATTTAAAATAATTCAAATAAAATAAAATAAAATTTACAGAATTTATTTTGTTGAACTGAATCAATAATTTAAAGACCAAGTCGAGTGTGTGACACTCTATCTTTAAGACAGATTCGTCCCGCTACGATGCTTACGGTTATGTGGCGTCTATCCCCCAGGATACACTGATCTTCACAAATTTGTAGTAGCACTTCAAACAAATTTGTTCGACGAACCAGAACCTTGTGTTCTATAACTCTCTGAAATTTTTCCTAAAATAATATGAAGAATAAAGGACGCAAGAGAGCAAAATGAAGGTAAGGAAAATGAATTTTCAGAAATCAATCAAAATTGGAATGAGGCTGCCTTTATATAGGCTTTGTTGGCACCTATTCAATTTGAATAGAAAAGGTATGAAGAAGGGACATAACCCTTCCTTTAAAATAAAGAGACACCATGAAAGGTTTGCACCCTTTCACTCAAATAGAGGTTTGACCCTTCCTTTAAAACAAAAAGACACCATGAAAGGTTACACCCTTTCATTCAAAATGGAGTCTATTTCAATTCACAACTACCTCTTTATAAATTTTCCAACAATCCCCCACATGAATGAAATTGACAGAGAGAAAATGCAACAACATGATGTAAATACAGAGAGTACAGAAATTGAAAA